AAATTAAAAATATATGTTTTCATATATTCTCACGTATTTCTGCCACTTTATTTTCAAGTAAATATATTTGCATGGATTTACACTATTTTTCCTTTAATTTGATTGAAAATTCAAAACTCTAAATGAAAAATAAAGTAAGAATATGCTAGAGGGAAATGAAATTAAGAAGGAATGTAAGTAGATAGACCTCTACATTAAAGGCGGTTAGGGAAGCATAAATATTGTTGACCACTAGGTGGTACTGCTAATCCACAGAATTGTAATAAAGCAGCTCTCAAGATTTTATTTCTTTTGAAAGTTTATTCCTTTTGTTATTTTTAGACTAATTGTTAACGTAAGGTTTAAATTAGTCAACCAGTGGTTTCTCACATAAATACTTTGCCAGTGAATTTCAATATCACATACACATATTTTATTTTATGCAGCCATGTTCTTAAAATGCGGGAAGAGGGCAGTTTATAGGTAATATTTCTGCAGGTTTTTTTTTTTTTAATTATAATTTTCTGTTTTTAAGTATCATAAAGCTAGTAAGAGTAAAGTGTAGTTACCCAGACTCCTTCCTTTGAAGATATAGGCAAGTATCAATACAGAAAAATTAAGTTTTTAAAGAATAATATTTATATGCTGAGATTTTAATGCTATTAAATCTTCATAGAATTGAACAACACCTATTTTGTTGTTCCAAATGGATATTTTAAAAATCAGACAGTAAAACATATGTGCATTTCTCTAATATGTTCACAGCCTTAAAATAATACGGGACCATTGTTTACAATAGATTTTTGTGCTATTAGAACACTAATTCTCATATCTTTATACATGTAAATTTCCAAAAAGTAAATTTTGACAAAAATGTCAGCAGAACTGCATTCTTTAGGCCATAGTGAATGTTATCATCTTTGTCAGAAGTAAACGTTATGCAAATACAGGTAAGATATTTTTTCCTAATTAATTCAAAACTGCTTTTTACAAACTCAGATTCATGAACAAGAGAATCAGATGGAATATCTCTTAATGGAAAAGGGTTGAATCCAACTGATTTGTAGTTCTGAAGGATTGTATTCATACTGCCTTTATTTGTATGCTAGAAACAAATATAAATCTTTTTTGGGGGGGCAGATAACATCATTCTACATCTCAAAACACCTGAAAATTTTCATATTCAATGCCTAACATAGGCAGATCCTTATAATGGGACCATCATAGAGAGTTTAAAATAAATGTACTGTATATGTTCAAGGAAATAATAAATGAGACTGAGAAATTCAGCAGAAGTCTATAAAAATAGCCCAAAGCAACAATGAAGAAAAAGACTAGAACTCAAAGTACACTAGGTGAAATAACACAATGGGTGGTTTCAGTAGATTAAAAAAAGAGCTTTAGACAATATCAGCAACATTAAAGATAAGTCAGAAATACATGTATATATATACATATATATATAAAATGAAGTAGAGAGAAACAAGAACTTGAAAATTACAGAAAAGAGCAAAAGAGACACAGATAAAGTGGATGTGTCTAGATGTGTGTGGTGGGGTTTTAGGAAGAGAGTCTTAGGAAAAGAGCAAAGTGAAATACACATGGCAATGCTCAATATTGTCTCATGAGACTTTTGTTTCTTCTTTGTGTATTTGTTACATATTTACCGAATTGAGACAATGTCTGGTATCCTGGATCTCTCTACTTGAAGACAAAACAAACAAAACTGAGAACTACTCTGTTAAATTATGCCATTCACAACAGCAGAGCCTGGATCTTTCTCACAAAAATAAGCTTTCCCACCCTTTGGCAGAAATTGTGCAGGAAGCATTTCTCAGTGAACCAGAGAGATTTTTAAAATTCTTTGAAGACAGGGAAGTGGGTTATAACATCAGGAAGGCCCTTTGAATATTGAAATTTGAAATGGAATAAAATTTAAATGTTTCCTAGATTAGTAACTGCGTATGTAACAACTTCATCTTAATTACAATAATTTATAATGGATGCTAAAGAGATAGTTCAGTTGTTATTTTAGCAGAAGAGTAGGCACCTTCGGACACTTTCGTTGCACAGATTTAACATTTGATCTGGGTTGGTGGTTCCTGCTAATCAGGAGGCTCCGTGAATAACAAAATCCAGTTCTACCATGGTATCAGCTACTGGACTCCAAGTCAATCACTCCATCTTGAATAAGTCAAAAAATTAATAGGTGTGGGTTTTGCTCTGCGTCGTGTCTTACAGAGTTATGGGAATCAAACATTATCAAAAAGATAGAAGTGGTCAAAACTGGACTGTCCTTCAACCACAGATAGGCTAACCAACATCTCTTGCTGGTGGATCTACCTCCAGAAGTCACTCTTTGATATGCTCACACTTTTAACATCCAGCCCCACTCTGCTCACTTATCACAACTGGCAGGGCACTCATGACCCCAGGGTTTCTCCCTCCCTGATGCTCCCTTCAGCCAGAGACATTACTGACCCTACTTCTCCACATAAGTTTCCATGCTCTATCCATTTCCTTTTAGATCCTCCCTAGATCTCTATTTGTAACTATTGCTTTTGCTGGCACTTTCCAGTCACTATCCAGTTTCCTGGAGTCATCTCTAGACTTTAATTTATTTTTAACTTTTCCTGGTTTTCTGGATTTTTCTATTTTTAATATACTAAATTTGGAGGTAAAGGTTTAATATTTTCTTCTAGATTTATTCTGCTTAAATATAAGCAAAATACCTTATACTGTGTAATTTTATAATACTCTTTTTACAGAAAGTATTGTTGCTGCCCTCACTGGATAATCTGATTTGTGGATTTATGACTGCTTAAGAACTGACATTAATATCTAAATATGGCTAGGGCAACAAAAGTGTCTCAGTCTTATATAAAATGAAGATAACAATGCCCAGCTTTCTTTATTTACAGGGGAACTGCAAAATAGTGTATAAGGGCTTTGTCAACCAAAATTGTATAAAACTATGGAATTTTTATAATTACAGTAACTATAAAAGTACGATTACTCTAAGTGTTGATTTGAGACTGGAGTTAATGAAAAAGAGCTTACTGATTTGATAAGTATATTTTATCTTTGAAAACTCGATGCTCTCTTTAGCTGGTCTCAAGTTAAGATCCCGCAATGATACAGCTGGAACAAGTTACTTTACAGATGGAAAGTGAACTCAAGGAGATAATATGACTTGCCTATAAATGGTAAAGACAGAATTAAATTCAGATCATTAAGCACTGCAACAGGGAGGGGCACTGAGGGACCAGATAGTTCAGAATTCTAAGAATCCCAGCTCTGCTATTTAATAGTATGACACTAAGTTATTTTTCTCATTTGTAAAATTAAGATGCCAATATTTCACACTCTTGTGTTGAGGATTAAATAATAGATGTAGGTTCAAAAACAGAAAAGATAAGCATACAGAAATCTAAAATATTATCACCGTACAAGGGGGCCTTCGGTAAATTCTCTTCTTTCCTCCCCTGCCCTTTCTCCCCCTGCCTTCCCTCTCCCCCTTCTCCTTCCCCTTTACTATGTAACTTATCTTGCCTTCTATTAGTATCCTGTTTAATGTGCCACTATAAAGGTAGAATGTGTTAACTTCTTCTGCTGAAACACTTTCCAAAGTGGTAAGGAATTTGTTCTGAAAGCTGTCATAAAAATATTTGGACCAAAAAAAAAAATAGATATATATATATACACATATACATATATATATATACATATATATATACATATATATATATACATATATATATATATACATATGTATATATATATATGTATATGTATATGTATATATATATATGTATATGTATATATATATATGTATATCTCAAACATTTTTTACTTGGTTAGGTTTCCTTTCATTGTGATCTGAATGTGACCAAATCTTAAGTTCTTTCAAGCTAAGGTAGGAAAATAATAACAATAATAATTTGAAGCAAAATCATGTTGTGAAGTAATTCTCTCACTGACTTGATTGGTAGTGAACCCGTCAATTTTATGTTATATAAAGTTGTGGTACTCCTTTTTGTAATGCTGTATTTTATTTAACAGCAAAATGTGCATATATTTCCAGAGACGTATGCATTTTTTAAATACATAAACATAGTATCTATTTATACAGAAGTCCATTCAGAGTTATTCCAATGTAGCTCCAATGGGTTTATTATAAAGTGCAACAGTATTTTTATAGTTTCATACATACCATGAAGTTTCGAATTAAAAACTGGGAGTGGATAGGGGTCTCATTGTTGACTTTCATTAATATTCTAGTCCTGTTAAAACCAGATTTTAAAAATGCGACGGGCAATATCCAGCTCCATTATTTAATAGTCATTTTTGAGGCCAAAAACTCTATGAACACTATATAGCAGCCTGGTATACTTTAAAAAACAAACAAACAAACAAACAAAACACGGTCTTATTTTAGAAAGAAACAATAGCAAATGAGAAAATTCTCATTTAAGAGTTTGCACAAAGGCCTAAATAAATATTCAGGCATGTGCCTCTTTTGTTACCTCCATTTATCAGGACCATTGAAGAATTAAAGATCTAAGAGTTCAGGACTGTGGATGGTGCTAACAGATACTGGGCAAAATGGTCATTACTGGGGCCTGACCAGATACTCAACTTACTGCTGCTGGGAGTATTGGCAGATACCGACTCACGCCTACATCCTGCCATAGCGACTTGCCCTTGGCCAAACGAGAGCTTCTTTGCCTGGGAGCGCCATCATACCCACAAGCCTGCAAGCAAGACTAGTTGGCATGGGGGATATAAAGAGATCCAGAAAAACAGAGGCCAAGTGGTATCACTTGTCTCAAGGTGGGTCCGACTCCCAGGTGTAAGTTTTACTCCAGAGCTCCCAGTGGGATCAAGCTGAAGCTAAGCTCCACTTGAAATCATATCCTTGCTTAGCATTCTTCCCCTGTCCTAGCCTGCTTTCCCCATTTTTTCATGAGACCACTTTCCTAATAAATCACTTTCTCAAGAATCCCTGTCTTTGTTTCTAGGGAACCTGACCCAAAACAGTGAGTACCAGGAATCATTCCAAGAAGCAGACTCTAAAGATGGGATTCTGGAAGTGAATCAGAGGCTGGCCAGATGGTAATGAGAACTCTCTCACTGATGGTAGGTGGAGTATCAGTAATGGCAAGCCTGCTATAATAATACAACTGATAAGACTTTCATTTGTGGTGAAGTTGGAGAAGACACAAAGTAAAAAAAGGATGCACTAACTTGTGCAATGTCTTTGATATTTAATAGGTATGAAAGAAATAATCACTAAAAGGATTGTGTTATTGGGGGATTTTGCTCAACAGAAATGAAATGACAGATTCAGATTTATCAATGAACAATTTAAAGCAAATTTGGAGTGTCAAAGAACCTCCTTCAGTGCGTTGAAGGAAATCTCCTGAAGTCAAAGGGCAGAAAGGGTGAAGAATTTGTATAGTGGCAGAACTTCATTCTCACTCTTGGCAGGAAGTCTCCCATGCCAAAATCAGAGCCCTGATAGAGAAGGATTGTGATCCTGCAAATTGGGTTGGGTAGATACACTTGAGATACCCCAAATGCTTCTGAATCTCACTGCCTATGGAAGTGTCTAATTTTCCTTATTGGAAATATACTGCTGCCCCTTGCTTTTCATTCATGCAGAGGCCTCAAAAGTAACATGTGTTTCATAAGCCAATGCTTGCCTATAGGATCTGTCCTAAGCTCCCTTTTGACCCTCAAGCCCATAACCAAGCTAAAAACTCATTAAGGTCTAACTGTGAAAATGCTGAGCCTGCTGAAGGGATATTAGGCCAAAGGGGCTGCAGGATCTGGTTAACAGTGTATAGGAAGGAACTGGAGAATATGCTAGAAGTCACCCCTAAAGGGGCTGGATCAAGGGAAGATGGAAACATATAAAGCTGGATAAGAACATTTATCATTATGTGGGAGACTCTTGTACTTGAGAACTAACATCCTGGCAAGGCCCCAAGAGTTGCCTCTCATCTGCTGTGAGGATGGTTCTTGCAAGCATGGAAAAAGTGATGGCTCCCACAAATGAAGTACAGATGCCAGAACTGCCTGGGCAGATTAGGAAGTAAAAAAATAAAGGCTCAGAGGAAGGAACATGCTAGAATGGATCTGTTCTATATGACCAGAAAACCCACCAGATGCACCATTCCTCCTCATGGTGCAGAGGAAGACATGTGTTTCTCAAGGAAGTAAGGACGATTCTGGTGAGGGGACAGGATGTTCTAGAATCCTTGAGAAGCTCAGTGTCTATTGTTATCTACAATCTGAGGCTGATGGCAGAAGGTGCTGTTACTATATCTAGGCTCATAGGTAGCAATGAGGATGAGAGGATCCAGGAAAAATAGAGGCCAGGTGGTGCCTCTTAAATGTCAGGAAAAAAATAAACTGGGTGAAAGTCTCATAATAGTCAGCAGGTTTGGAGTGGTTGCCAGAGGGGCCCCTGTGATGTCCATATACAGCATACAGACAGCATGTTCCTAGGGAAAGACTAATGAACTGCCACAACGTGTTACTTAAACTACATCATCAAAGGAGACTCAAGAATGAGTGAGCAGAAACCTGAGGTAGACCTCATAATAAAAATATCATGACCCCATGTCTGGTTTCCACCTACATCCGTTCTCAGACACAATTCTCAGAATCTGTCAACCCAACAAGAACTCTGAAACAAATAACAGTGTGTGGAGACCTCCCCATCCTCCCCCAGATGGCTCCCAGCCATTTACTCAGACCACCAGATACCAGGAAAGGAGAAATGCCTATTCTGAGGATGATTTGGCACAAGTCCTGATGTGATTATGTACTGAGGGTGTCCAAGGAACGATTATAACCTCCCTTGTTAGATAAGGGATGTGTAGAGGCACATATAATTGAAGTCCTGGACCAATATCATGTCACAGTGGGTCCAATAGTTCCCTAGAACTACCTGGTAGTCATTTCCCCAATTGCCAGAAGATAATTACAGTGGACATAGTTTATGGTTGGGATAACTCTCACATTGGTTTTTTGCCCTCTAGAGGACCAGTAAAGGCCAAGTGCAAACTCCTGAATCTGCAACCTCGGGCCAAAATGGCAAATCAAAAACAAGATTGCATCCCAGCAGGAATGGCATGGATTAGGGTTACCCTCAGAATCACGAAGAATGCAAGGGTGGCAGTCCTCATCATAACTCTCATTTAATTCACCAGTTAGGTCCCTGGAAGAACTGTTTGGATTGTGGCAGGTAAGAGCGGACGATCACAAGCCCAATCAAGGAGTAGTTTCAACTGCAGCTTCAGTGGTGGGTGTGCTATCTGTATTAAAGCACATTCAGAGTCTCTGGCACATGTCATAAGGTTATTGATCTGGCAAACGTGTTCTTTTTAATCCTCACCAGAAGGGACAATCAGAAATCCAATCCAATCACTTGGATTGGGCAACGTATATATTCAGTCTTGCCTTTGTGCCATGTAAATTCACCTAATTTCTGCCACAACACAGTCTAAAGGGACACTGGTGATCTGTATATTCCCTCGAATATTAGATTTATTGCACCTGATGAGCAAGAGGTCACAAGTACTCTGGATGCCTTGGAAACACATGCATTCCAGAGAGTGAGAGATAAAATTTTGAAAGACCCAAGTATCCACTATGTTGATAAAATTCTTAGAGTTCAGTGATCTGAAACATTCTAGGACCTCTTTTCTAAATTAAAAGGTGAATTATGGAACCTTGGGTCCTCTGCCTATATAAGAGATGTAGAGGGACTGGTAGGACTATTCAGCTCTGGAGTAAGCATACTGCTCTGACCTATGTGTCTGGTGTTGGGGAAAGCTAGTAGATGTGTGTGGGGCCCAGAACAACAGAGGGGTTTGATAGCAGGCCCAGAATGTTGTACAGCAGCTCGGCTATGTGGGCCATACAACGAGGCAGAGCTCATGATATTAGAAGTATCTGTTATAGACATTGCCAACTGAAACCTCTGGCAAACTCCACTAGGAAAATGCATTGTGCACCCCTAGGTTTTTGGAGAAAGGTGGCTGAGGGAAGTCATTGAAAAGACACGGCCACCAGGAGACCTGGGAGCTGGGCTCCTCCCTGTCCTTGCAATGTGGGTTCTGTTTCCTCTCCCTCCCCCAGAGGCGCCTCCAAAGACAGAGCCTTGAAATAGTTTTGTGGTATTGAGAACACCTGCAGGGTATGTGTGAGAGAACCCAGTTAAAGCCTCTGCATAAACTGAAAATTTGGTCGGTAGGTGGGTGAGGGAGTTCACTCATCTTGCTGCTGTCCCAAGACAAGCCCTCTCGGTAAGTTCCCTCTGCTTCGTAAAACTGCCACCTCCCAACCTGGCCTGCCTCTTTCTTTGGTTTCTCCCTGCTCTCTGAATATGGGGTTGGGTTTCAGATTATACTCGGGAAGCTCCCAAGGAGGTTGCAAACCAACAATTCGTGAGCCGAACGAATCAGCGGTGGATGAAATTCTGGGTTGACCATCGACCTCTCTGTGTGGAGGGGTGGCCCATACAAGCCTCTTTTTTTTTTTTTAAGATTTATTTATTTACTTTAGAGGGGGGGGAGGGGCAGAGGGAAAGGGAGAGAGACTCTTAAGCAGACTTTGTGCTGAGTGAACATGGAGCCCGACGCAGCGCTGATCCCAAGACCCTGAGATCAGGACCTGAGCAGAAACCAAGAGTTGGTGGCTCAACCAACTGTGCCCCCCAAGTGTTCCCCATACAAGCCTCTTAAGTAAATTCCCTAGCCTTGGGAAAAGGACATCCACAGGGCAAATCCCGGGTTGGCCAGCTACCTATATGTGGGTAAGGGTGGCTCGTACGTCAGATGCTTGTAGATTGCTACATGAGTATAGGGACACCCTGTAAATGCTGGCTGCGTCAAGGGACTTGTTTGGGAAACTGCACACTGTGGCAAAGAAGGGAAATGCATGGTGGCTGCCGTGGGCTGGCCTCTACTCTGGCCACCAATGCCCAACTAGAAGCTGAAGCTCTAGTTAGAAAGTCAGAAAATCTGAGGTTGGAGAAGCACATGAGAGTGTCCACTACTCTGCTAGTTTCAGGGCTGGCAGACAAGGTGGGAAAACAGGATAATTAGTTAGAGTCCTTAGCACGCTGTTTGCTAGGAGGGCGCAGGCTACCTCCAGTTAAGGCTTGTGACAAAGCCCGATTAGGATGCTAGTGGGTGGAATCCCTGGGCAAGTGAAGAGGATAAAGAAGAAGATGTTATAGTAATTGATGAAAAAATAGACAAAATGTCCCATGCTTCCTGACCCCTCATACAAACAAAAACTTTGAATAGGAATTACCCCTAACTTCCAGTAGAAAACTTGCATTCTTGCTCTGTCCCTTAAAGTGGTAGATCTTCTCCTGTCTTTGAAATGGAAACACCCCAGGAGATAATCAAAACATTGGCAGCAGAGATGGTAGGGAAAAAAAGGAGGGTGCTTGTGGAGAGGCTTTTTAAAATACAGACTACTATAGACGTTTCCCTCGTCAACTGCATTACAATGAACTCTCATCAGACCTTTAACCATGGCCATTTTGCAGTCTTTTGTCATCTGCAGAAGGTTACTGTTTTACTCTGATGCCTTGGCAAAAAAATGTTCCTGCAAAAGTGCTTCCTCCTAAGGGGATTCGTGAAAAGAATTTGACAAGTACAGGTTTCTGAGAACTAAGATCAATTTGCCTTCCTGCGGGAGGGACAATAGGGAACTTTTCAGGTGCTCCCCCAAGCTACCTGCATAGCCCAGCAGTATGTCTAGGCTGGTAGCTGGGGGTCCTGTCTTTGTCCCCCTTCTGCAAGTCAGTAACAGGGGCCCATTACATGGATGATATAATGTTAACATGTGAAGATTTGCCTCTGCATTGGGATACCTACAAGCTTTCTGGAGCATCTGCGAAGGAAAGGATGGACAATGAACCCAGAGAAAATTTAAGGCTTAGGCACTGCTGTAAGGTTTTGGGTGTCATCTGGTCGAGTAAGACTCATGTTGTCCCTAAAGCTATGATTGATGATAAGGTGTAGGACTATTCAACCCATAAGGATGTGAAAGAGGTGCACATCTTTCTAGGGATTTAGGGGTTTTGAAGGACTTTTATCCACCTGGCATAGTGC